GCTCACATCAGGGATCTATGCTAAATCTTCGAAAGCGCTTGTTGTCATGTAAATAACCGTCCATAGCAACCCTAACCTCAAACCCTATCCAAAGCCAATCCCTCTTCAAGCCAAAGCCTACGCCTTAACCCGAAACTCCTGGGCGAGTGCCCTTCGCAACCTAATCTAGGGGCCTTAATACTTAGAATAGGGGTTTGGGGGTTCCTTATTATAAATATAGTATAATGGGCCCCAAACCCTATTCTAATTATTAAGGCCCCTATATTAATCCAGGAACCTCATCCCCAAACTCCCAGGACAAGCAGAAGGTATTCCTGAGCCGTACACCCCAAAGGCCTCAAGAAGAAACTAGTAGAACGCAAAGGTACACGGCTGTCGTACTAGATGCCGATGTTTGCGCTGTGGCGCTGGAGAGGGGCCTCGATGAGTGGATGCGAGGCCAAACCCCATAGCCCTTCAGTTTCATGATAGGCACAGGATTTTGCAGGGTTGTGAAGGGATTAATTCCTCCAAACCGCGTGGTAGCGAGTGCATACTATAAATTCTTACGCTCAGCGCACAGACAAAGTAACGAGGGAGTGCTTAGTGATCTAAGTGTGAGCGCGAAGCATGCGAGCAGGCGCACCCGTGGTTCCGCGAGTCCCGCTGTAATGCTGTGTGCCTTTCGAGTATATCGCATTCTTCCACAGTCATGCTCGGACTGCGCCTCTGGGCACGGGCGATTCGCCGTAAGGGCTATCTCTTCAGACTCATGATATCGCTCCCGCCACGGTCCTATGCATATTTTGGGGGTCATTATGGTGCTCCCGCCGCAGCTCTCTTTCCTTTCGTTCTGAAAGTCTTTCCTTTCGTTCTGAAATTCTTTCCTTCCGTTCTGAAATTTGCCTCGACGTCCCTGAAGTCCTAGCATTGCCACGCTCATGAGTCGCCTTCTTGAGGCTCCCCCGGGGCATTTCCTGGGGTTTGGTCTCCAAATCTGACCGTCAATGTGGTGCAATTCGGAACTGGTGGTGCCCTGATATAGAAGCCTAAATAATTACTTTCTCCTTGTTATAGTTATAGTACTATATACTATATACCCCAAAACCCAAGTCTAATGATTAAGGCCCCTACATTCTCTCGTGTTTCGGGGTATCTCCGCCTCCAGTTGTCCCCTCGACGACGCCCGGCACATCTTGGCGCGACTCGTGGTTGCGCCTGCGGGAGACATGCTTCGCGCTTTGCAACCCACTGAACCTCGAACTTCAACTTCAGGACACTTGTTTGTAAACAGTCGGTAAGCCAACATAACCCACTACCAACCAAACAGAACACCACACTTCCATCCTTATACATCCGATGCCAGAATTCTATGCTATCACCACTCACCATCATGTGGATAGAAGGAGGACGGCCAGCCTCGAAACAAACACGTCATAGCCACATCGGAACCACTGCAGCCAAACTAAGAAACCCAAAGCCAAAAGCTCCCGAAACCTCCAACTTCCCTGAAACCCCCAATCGTTGCAACACCCTTCGCATACCAAACTAAATCCTAAACCCCAAACCCTAAACTCCCTAACCGATTGCAGCAGGGCCAGGCGAGCTCCAGTTCTACGAGCGCCCCTGAGCTCGACGAGCTCTGAAGGGGTGGGTTTTATAGGGCGTTTTGGGGGGCTTTACAGGATTTTGGGTTGAGGGTGAGGGGTTTAGGGTTGAAGAATTCGTTGTCGAGATATAGTAAAGGTATCAGACCTTGGGTGTATGTTGTATACCAACTCTATCTTAGGGAGTATAAGGGGGTAGTATTCATACTTCTTCTTCCGACCTCTATATGAGTTTTACATGAGGTTTTAAGGTTTTGTGGGGGCTTAGGTAGGCTGTGTGATAGAGAAGGTTCACGGGCTCCAGGGTCTCAGCAACACTTATGTTTCCGTTGTTGCCATAGAGGTTGGGGCTTCTGGCTACGGTAAAGGTTTGAAGGTTTAGGGCCCGAAACCCCGAAGCCGAAGCGTTACGGTAACAAAGCCTTGACGTATAAACATAGTGATGACCATACTAATCACCGTAAAGCTTAACCATAACTACCACAATAACAATACTTGTTATTCTGAGTTCTCGTCACAAAAAACGAGAGTGTCAGGCATATTCACAATGGTAATATCGTTAACAAGAACAAGAGTAAGACAGGTAAGAAGAAGAAGCCTTTAACACCCGCGTTTAGGTTTCCAGGTAGCATTGCCAAGGGTTTTGGGCTGTGGAAGTCCTGGACCTGCCCGAACCCTGGAGTGCCTGAGCCATTGCTTCCACCGAGGTGGTAGCAATGTATAACTGTATAACTATAATTGCCAATATTAAGAGTAGTAATAACAACAATAGCAACCAACAGCTATGATATAAGCAATCAATAAGAACCTGAAGATTCCAAATAACATAATGGGACAACTGCTCAGAATAGTGGTTCACACCTGGCCTACTGAAAGCAGAGGCATGGGTGGCCCGGAGGTGATGGCTGGCGGCGTGGATGCACGAGTGCTGAAAATTGTTTCATGGGAAGTTGCCGGCGGGACTACTTGCCCCGGAAAGTGAGATGCTGGGTTCTGAGTTCCTACACTCGAAAAACCAAAGCCCTAATGTCTAGGGCCATGCTTCCAATCCGATTGTAGGGGTCATGGGACTCAATCAGTAGGTTCTATTCGGGTCATGAGTGCTACTATATAGCCTGTCTAACCTGGGCTATCCTGCTTGCTTTGGCTCACTGCGTCCTCCGATCCTCCAGGCAGCCCTGCAAGCTCTGTTGTGATACTAAGCTGGTGCTAGTAGTGCACGCGTAGCCCAACAGATATAGATTTAAGGTTCCAGGCCGGAACTCTACCGCTGTGTTTTTGCAACCAGGTTTTAATACGCTCTGAAGCGTCGCATGTTACGCTTCCGGCATGTCGTATTGTAGTCTCGTAGCTGCTATTGTCATAGCACTTTGACAGCACCTTTGTCCTAGCTTGGGCTTCCACGCTTAATGTGCAAGGCTCGAGTTTACTTGGTCATTATGTTAGCTCCTTAGCGTGTTGTTGACACTCCAAGCGTGTAGAAGCCTAGTGACAGCATTTCCCACATGTATTAGCAAGTTACTGTTTGGAGTTGAGAGTTCGTGGTTCAATGAGAGTTCTACTCAGAGAGAAGTGGGCCCTGGCAAGACTGCAGAATCCCTCGGCATCAAATCCCTATGCTACAATACAAGCCCGTACATCCTATGTTGAACCCTTCTAAACCTCCAAACTCTGTAAGCTCCACCCCTGGAAGTGCAACCGCCTCCCCACACAGTGCACTGTGAGCCCTCCCAAGAAGGAAACTAGTCTGCTGGCCCTCCACACTGAAACCCCAGCGCCGAGACGCTGAACTAGGTTCCGATGCACACAGGACTTTGGAGCGAGGGGTATAGGGTTTAGGGTTTAGGGTTTAGGGGATTAGGGTTTAGGGTTTAGGGTTTAGGGGGAGGGATGCTCCTCTTAGCAGGGTTCTAGCTGCTAGCTTACTTGGGCGAGTGTTTTGGATCATTTCCTCTGTCCTGCAGTTGGTTTCAATCTGCCGACTGAGACGCCAGATCCCCATAGAAGCCCTAACCATTCGATCCGTGAGCCGGTTGTGACAGTCGAAACCCTAAAGGCGTAGAACCCTGCAGCCCTAACTAAACCTCAAAATGGGAAAATCAATAAACCCACCCTAAGCCGTGTTTGCATGATTTTGCATCCTCGATACCGGACCCGTCTGAGCGGGAAATTGTGATGAACTCCTTGATGCCGAACCCGTCTGCCTCCGTTCCGCCCTCGCCGCGTTTCCACTTGCCTCACCGCGCGCTGGGTGATGCTGCTCGAACTCGAACCCTCGCCTTGTCCCAACTTGTGAATGCTGACAGAGCCGTAATATTATGTATTATACCGTAGTCGTCCAGTATATGATCATGTGGTATATTGAGCTATATTACATCATAGTGTACTATAGTACTATAGTATTGAGTTATGTTACATCATATGGTACTATAGTACTATAGTATTGAGGTATATTACGTCATACTGTACTATAGTACTCTATGGTACCACAGGCAACTACCTGGCCAAGAACGTGCCCTGGGTCCGGGAGTTCCTCCGCCGTTGGGAACCTCTGCCTGACGATGTTCGTTTAGGTTTGAAAGAAGGGGCCTAGATAATGACCTAGACTATTTTTTTTGGGGGGGGGTTCCTTCATTGTATATACATATATATATAAAGAGAGAGAGAGAGAGAGAGAGAGAGAGAGAGTATAGCGGGCCCCCAAAACCCTATTCTACGATTATTAAGGCCCCTATATTAGGGTTCTTTGTCAGTCTGTGCTGAGAAGGGTTTTTGTTCATGGCATGATCAGGGTTCCTACAAGTTTTGGGGCTAGGGTCTAGAGATCTATGAGGCACACACTGAAGATTACGGGTTCGGGGCTAGGAGTTTTTTCTTTCAATATCTGGTTTGTGGAAACTTTTGGATGGGTTTACCAGGGAGTTATTCTTTCGCAATCCCTATCTATCTTTATCCCTCTACTTGCTTATTGAGGCCCTTAGACTCGGGTTAAACACAGAGAAGCCGAAGCCTGTGTCTCTTGACCCCGCGAGCCAAATTTTCTGAAAGCCGAGCTTGGGACCGGGTCGTCCGGGGTAGAAATGGCCCATACGGGGTTTAGGGTTTAGGGTT